TTCAAACTAGCGGTCACATTTTTCTAGTGTACGTGATGTTGTCAACTCATTATTATCGTTCTTTCACAGATTGGAGTACATTTCTGCTGCTCGTTAACCCACTGTTAAGTTAGTATGTTTTCATGCACGATTCAACTGTCTGCGTCGGAATATTAACACCTCAATTTAGTTTTCACACAGGTGAAACATGGCTGAGCAAATTGTTCACCTGCTGTAATTCACTCAATTATGCAATGAGTTTAGCTGCTGCGAGTAGAACCTCCATCCATTCTTGCTGCACATCAAAGGTAGATGCGCAGCACACTCCGTTCGTTCGCACAGAATTCACCGCATTCACAGGTAACATTTGCCAGCGTTCCTGCTTCGACAAAAATTTCTTTTTAAACGACACTACGAAGCAGACTCCGGCTACATGCCAGTTTCACGATTGCATCGCTTGGATTGAACGGATTTTTTTTTTTGAGAAAGTACAATATAATATTCATGCACGCAATAACACACACACACACACACGCACACACACACACACACACACACTCACACACATACACACATACACATACATACAAACACAGACACACACACATACACATACATACAAACACAAGCACAAACACGTATGCACACAAACATGCATCTGCATGTGTTCATGTGCATGCGAAGAAGTCGAACCAGCACAAAGGCATGGTACTCATACCGTCAACTTACCTATGTCCCAGGACAAGTATGCGGTAATCTTTACTCCGATTTTAACTCGTCATCTTTCACACGAGTTCAAGATCAATCTTAATGGCAGCCTCATATGTAGATTCCAGGTTATTCTGACAGTTATATGGCTCGTCTTCAACAGTCATATGAACATCAGCACACATTCGTTTTGCTTTTTTTCCGCGAGGATCGTTGTTTATGATTGCTTTCTGTTTTAAGCATGTTAGGTCTGCAACCAGGATTCTCCATAAATTGATTATAAATATTAACATAGCCCACTGCTGTGAGCGAAAACACGTCCACCCATCTTTCATTCGGTCGTCCAGCAGAATGCTTGCATTTTTTGGGGTCCATTTGAGTAACTTTTTTGTGCGTCTATTAATTCCAACTCAACTCTTCTCACTACATCGCTGGTCCACTCTATTTTCCACCTCTCGGTAGATTCTCTGAAAGACATGAACAAGGCCCCTGTTGGCCCACTTTTTTCTTCACAGTTCCTCCTCAGTATCGTTTACCATGTTCATCGAAAAGTACACGTATATTCGTTCTATGTTCAGAAAACCGTCTATTTTCATGTCCTTAAAATTCTATCATAGAATCTCCATGAACTGGGTTTCCTTCCAATTTATGCACTATTTTCTCGCTTCTTTGTGCTCTTTGAGCATCGTTCCTACTTCACAGCTAAGTACTACTCTAAGAGACGACAATGTCAATGACGAAATAAACACTTAGCAAGAAACTACCAAGGTTGTGTGTTCCTTTGCCCCTTCTTATCGCAGACGAGCAACTTCATTATTCACAGCAGTGCGGGAATGAAGCTTTAGCGGAATAGAGCTGCTGCTTCTGATCTTTTTTGCTATCACAGTGTCGATATAATAACTGTATTTCATGGTAGAATTGGTATAGCACCTAGTTAGAGCGCCCACGTAGAATTGGTTAATTCCTGTGTGAACTTGTTCTGCACAAGTGCTCTTATCATGAACGCCACTTCTGTTGAACATTCTTTTTAGCAGTTAACAAAGATAGAATAAGGACAGTGTTACTCCTTATAGGCTTTTACTATCTTAAAGTGGTAATAGTCGTAAAAATAACCCTAGAATGGCATCATGAAGAAAGTGCTTTTACTCAACTACTAGAACCATATTAGAAGGCGTTGTAACATTCAACTAATTTTTACTGTTGTGTTTTCATATGGCTCCGGCCTCGAATTCCGTTACCATGGCCGTTTTCCTGTGGAAACCAATGAGCACTTTTTGAGTGTCTACCTGGCAGTTGAAATTCTAGTCACTTCTTGACAAGAGTTTAATGGTGATTAATCAAATTATAGGTTTAAGCTATGTCGAATTTGTCTACTGTTGTGTAGAAGTTATTAAACACGAATTCTATCTACCCGCTTTGCCTTATTACGCCCTGCGTTCCCACACCATATGATGGTCAATACCATTAACTACTAGTCAGCAACATCGAGGACAAGGAACTGGTGATATAAGGCAGTTAAAGATAAGGAGCTACGTTTTATTGAAATTTTGAGGAACTTGTCCGTAACGAGAAAACCTGCTAATTTGTTAAGAAAGACTTCAAAGCAAGGATGGGAACAGCGCAAAGATACGAGTTCGAAATCGGAAACTTTGGACTGAAGCATCGTAATAGAAATGAAGAACGTATTCTAAAAATACTCGCTGCTACTCTTCTCTTCCATGCGAATTTGTGTTTCAAGAGGAAAGCCGTCATCATCACCGTTGCACGTGGTAATATCCAAATGGATTGATCCATGCGGAAATTGGTAATATCCTTCTGCATAGAAGAAATCTTTTCGCCGTCAGTGTATTGTTCCATCTTTTTCAATAGAGTCATATCTCAGTCCTTTTCATGTGCAAATTCTCTTTAATCGGAAATCAGAATAGAATTACTGTCACTGCTCAGAAAAAAGAAAACGAGCCATCGTATCCACTTATCCGATCTCTAAAATGTTTATTAACTCTTACGACGTCTTAGAGAGCATACTTTAGCCTATATAAAGAAGCGTATATTTTAGACATACAATGAACATACACGCATGGTTCGACGCTGCACGCAACCAGCCAGGACTTTTACCCTGTGCGAGTTTGACAAAATGAAACCAAACATATTTAGGAAAACCTCCCTCCCATACAAATGAACCGACAATTACTTGTTAGGAGTACCTGAAAATAACACGGCAATCTTATCCAAGGATTCCAGGGAGTACGTATCCCACCAGCATTCAACGAACTGAATAAGGAAGGAATGAGGAAAGACTTCCGTAGATGGCAAATACGTGACACCGAATAGAAAGGTAGAACTGCTGCAATCAGCATAATAAGCTCAAAAATCCGCAGGATTACTTCCAAAAAATTCATGAATGATTTCATCATACTTTATTTAATATAATACTAGGTTTAGTATCATTTCTGGATACAACGCCTCCATTGAACAAAATTCACTCAACAACTCATAAAAGATTCTGTCTAATTGAATTTCTTTCACCAAAATTGAAAATGTTGATTTCCACATCCATTATAACACACCACTAATTTCCCTCTTCGTACGACCATTATAAAATTTTTCTTATTCCAAATGCGTTCGGTTCCACTCTGTACCGAAATCCACAGTCTCATCTTTAACTGAAAATCTAGATCCTCAATATCATTCTACCCACGTCATTGCACTCTGTTAAATGCGCGGGCACCACTTCGATTCCTTCGTACTGTGAGCTACTAAAAGTTTAATACAAGCAAGCGTAATGTGCTTCCAACTGATTTTGGATTTCCACCGCTTAAACTGCTATGGAAAACCAATCAGATTCTTCCCGCAGTTTTTGTCTTTCCAAGACACGTGATAACATGAATCTTTTCTCTATTACTATGACATTATGCCATATATTTCGTAAGTAATAATCCTTTTTAGCGCATATAAGGGCAGTGGTAGAAGATACAGCTTACATGTGCCACCTGCAAGCGATAGATAAATACTGATTTCACGCGACATTTCCTTCTATCTACCACTTATTACTAACCATTCTGAGAGTTTTAGGATAACTCCTACACAGAAACACGTCTTGATTTTTCATTTTTGCATCTTATCGATAATATGCACATGAGGAACATGACTTCCTGATAAGTATCAATTTCTCCTCCAAGAACTTCAATGAAATTCTATGACAGCTTTTCAAGGTGTCGAAAATGGGTTTTTCCATGTAAAAGTCTACTTTTTAGGGAAGCGCTTAGAGGCTCCCTGCACCACACACTGTGTAGAGCGGTTTATTCCCTCCTACCAAGCTCACCAACACTTCCCATCCAACTGGGGTCAGCAAATTAGTGCTGGACTTGTCTGGGAGGATAGCAGCCCTGACACGAGACATATGTGAGCTACTAAAAGTCATCCTATAGGTCAGATATGTTTTCATTCACTTTCAACGATTCTGTGAATGGAATTGAAAGCATGGCGCATTCTTCGAGCGTTCATTAGGCGAACGGCTGAAGCCTTCGTTTTTACTTTTATGCTTGCCACTATATGGGAATCTGAGCGGCAATGTTTGCTAAAAACTGCTAAAATTAGTAAAACAGCAAAATCACGTAGTTAATGTACATGGGCCTCTTCATGCAACCATTCGTTCATATCGATAACGGTGTCCATTCTATTCATTAAGTCAATAGCGAGGTGTCCTGAAAAAATGAATCGAGCGAGAGCTGAGTTAATTTAGAGTAAAACGATGGAAAGTAGGTGGCGGCGGAATGTTTTATAAATAATTCCTCACACGTCTCCAAACAGGACGTGTTTAACAAAAGAAAAAAGAAATGACACCACATACAAATTTGAGAAAACAGGTTGTCAAAAAAGTGTAAACGTTTCGATTAACGAACCATATGATTTTCCTGTCAAATGCAGAGTTACTGCCTTATGTTTGCGATGACTGCCGCAGCAGCTACTCATGCTTTTCCTAATGCTTCAGAAAGGAATTAGTTATGCGTGTACAGCAGTGAACACGAACGTCATTCAGTTTATGCGAATTTTCTATACATTATTCCCGTTTCTTCCTTCTTTTCTGATTTGGCGCTATCGTTTTTCTCAGTATGCTCTGCTATAGTTCTTTGGGCACGATTCAGTCATTATACGTGTTGTAGAATGAGTAGTAATTCGACATGTTTGAATTTGAACGACGAGTTATGGCAGCAGCGTGGCGATCTCACAACCAGGGTGAGTGTGGTTCGATGATTCCTTTCCCATAAATAGTTCTGATAAATGCTGAAAAATGCGTGGCTCAGGTGCCGACAATGGTTATTTTTGCCATTCTCTACTCCATTATTATTCTTTGTGGTCTCGTTGGAAATGTATGTGTAATTTTAGCTATCACACGCAATAGGTAAGCGCTTTCGCCGTAATTAGTTCACTATATAAACGCAGAAGATAGCATAGAGAAAGTAGTGCTATTTACTTAGTGTAGTACTACTTTGTCGAAGTCACCTATTCAGATGTCTAGATGAAATTCTGAGCAACATCTCGAAATTTCAAAATCATCAAACTGATTGTCTTTCAGAGCTCTACAGACAGTTCCAAATCTTTTTATTCTATCACTATCGTGTTCTGATGTTGCTGTGTGCTGCATTTCTGCAACAATTACTCCTATAACAGCTTTTCGGAAAGAGTGGATTTTTAGCTCCATGTTGTGTCGCACTGCTCCTTTTATAGCGGTACGAGTTGTGCATTTCATCTAAGGCGAATCAAAGTCGCGAGTACAAATTTTTAGGGTATCAGCTTATGTTTTTCCACTTTCACGTTAACTGCCATCTCCATTGATCGATACCTACTGATACGGTTCCCGACGAGGAAGCCGTTAATGCATTATCATGCATACTTAGTAATTACCGTATGTTTCCTTTACTTGCTAAATTATTGTAAGATTTTTTTCTCACCGATACGAAATGTATAGGGAAACAGAATAGTGGGGCAGAATTGCTATATTTACAAGTAGCACACTATTTCAGGCACCGAACTTATCAGTGTCATCTCTGCATAAACATTACTACGACGATTTCATACACAAATGCATATAAGTGTCACTACATTTTCAAGCGCGCTTTGTGATGTAGCCATCAATGGGGTTGTTTCCAAGTGATTTTCTGAAACAAACAATTTCCCACAAGCTAAAACAACAGATTCTTAGAAAAAAAGCCATATTTGTTGCAATTTTTATTCCGCGAAAAATTCACTTCTCCGTGCTGAGGCGAGAAAATTGGACACACAAGCATATATTAATGTTCCGTTGCGAGTAGAAATTCCCACACTTTAATGCTGTATGTGACAATGTTTGTTATGCTGTGTAGGTAACTTATCAAATTTCACTGCTTTCGTGAGAAAATGAAGAGAACCACAAGATCAGCCTTTCTTCTGCGTGACTGACATACGTCGAGGAAACCTTAGCAATGAGTGTGAGCTGCTTGTTTAGGAGTTTTAAAACTGTTCTAAATGCTCGCCAATTTTCAAACAAGGAATTTGGACTACATTTAACTCACCTTCAAGGCAATGAGAGCAAAGAGATCTACGCTACAAATATGAAAACTCAGCTACAGACGATCCTTGCAGATGTGCTTACACCTGTACGAAAAGGAAAATTATTGCAAGTAGTTAAAAAAAACACTGCAATGAAGAAATGCCAGTTCATGGCGATAGTAGTCCATTATCAGCGCTACTGAACGAAATTATGATATTACCTACTTCCGCGGCAACTGAGAGTTTTACCGTCTGCAATATCTGTCTTTTCACATCCCATACATACCACAACAGAATTCAAAATTGGTAGCACGTATTAAACCGTAGCATACATGCCACTTATACCCATGGGATGATAGAACAAAGTCTTTTCTACAATGCTGTCACTCTAGAAGAATTTCTCAGGTTATCTAGTTATTAAGAAAAGGCTTCCTTTTGTTAGAAAACCCGAAAGTTTAGTGCGAACGAAAAAATGCTGGTATTCAATCAGACTAGCCACGAAAAACGGCCCAGCGGCATTATTTTTTAACAATTTCAATGAAGGTTAGTCATCTAAGAAGGCCAGGTTAAACATACAAAATTCTGAAATTAAGCTGTTATAGATCACATCCTAGGCTGAAGTCCCCTTAGCGAATGAGGTCCGAAAAATTGACGCTGTATGAATAAAGCTCTGCTGTGGATAATCGATTAGTCTTGTTGGCTTGGCGACTAGATCACATGCAAAGATGAAGCCACTTATAGGGTGAACGTACGTGTTTCTATGAGATTGGACGATTGTATAAGCAACTTCTCGTTAGATTTAATTCGTTGCAATAGATTACTTTTATAAGCAGCAATCGCTTAAGAATCCAGGCGAAAAAATTGTATTAGAGCCCCTATGTTTCAGAAAGAAAAGGCATTCCTGTAGCGAAGTAACCATGAAACGGTATGTACATTATAATAAAGTTTAAATTGGTGAAGAAGACAGTACAACAGACACTTTAAACAATTTAAATCTTCCGCAATCCTAAACCGTAATTCAAAGTGCCTGTTTTTTCACTATTTTGTTGAATTATTCTATGCCGTGATTTATACTGTAGCCTACCGATTCCTCAAACTCGGTTAATTTATCCTCCCCGCTTGGTACTAATTTAGGTTAGCCTGTTTAATCTGGAACAATGAAATGAACTGGCAACCATGTGTGTATTAAAGTGCACCTCTAATAACTGCATTATACATGAAGTAGTCGGCACAAAACACAATTTTTTTTCCGTTCGGTAGTATGCTCCCATACTTTACCATTTCAGTTCATATGTGCTCTGGCTGCATGTATTTCTTCTCCTATAATATTTCGGCAAAAACTTTCAACATTTGAGAATTTCTGCGGGCAGTACTGCACTGGCATGTCGCTTATTTTTAAGAATTTGATTTCTCTTTTAATTTGACTATTATAATGAACTTCAGAAGATTGGAGCGATAGTGAAAGTCAACGTAAGTTGTATGGAGCTGCCCTACTTTGCGTTCAGTTAGTAGTGCCGCTACTTATCATAATTGTCTCGTATACTGCAATCTCACTTCGCATTAGTCAGGTTAGTACGGACACGATTCATTCAAAGTGGGTTAGGATCTTAATATACAGCATTTTTTGTTGTAGAGTGTTATTCTGAGAAGCACAAAGCGAGGCAACAGTGCCAACGTGGATGTACAGCTTACCGATCAGCAAAGAATGGCCCTGAAGAGAAAGCAGAGAACGAATCGAATGCTCATTGCTATGGTGGTCGCTTTCTCAGTAAGGTATATCTCGCAAGTCTTTAATTTTTAAACAAGTATGCAGATAGTATTTTTTTCCCGACCTACGACTTATTGAAATGCTGCTGCGTTATTGGGTTGCATTTCCCGTTACTTACGTTGCTGCGTCGCTATGATCTCCGACACTTTTCGAGTTCATCTAATGATCCAGCAATTTTCATGCCTTCTACTGCACACGCATGTGCTGTTATCAGATGCTTAAAATGAAGAACTAATAGGAATAAACAATACTGGTGCCATGAATCAACGCACAATCTTGATGCTAGAAGTACGATGTGCGCTTTGAAACACCTGAGCCTTTCCGCACATACGGTACAACAATGAAAACAATGGAATATATCAATGTTAAAACATTAGTGAGTAGCTGCCCGAATTTATCATAACGACTAGAACTACCCATGATCACTAACCATTCCAAAATCGCACTCTCAACATCGGACGGGAGCGACTATAAATGGAGAGGTCCATAATAAAATAACAGCATCATGGTAAATCGGAGATGTGGTTAACTGGTACCACCTTTGTTCCAGAAGTTTACAAGCGATCAGACCGTCATTTTCTCAACATTCCATTTTTCGCGGAAGGGAGCGAAAACGACAAAGTCCAAGAAATAAAGTCCCAAAACCATTATAAACTGGGATTTATTCGGTCCATTAGTCGGCTCCTGGAAAGAAGTCGTTATCGACAACATTGACAGAGAATAAAATCGGCACCTTTAACAGATTCACGGTAACCCACTGAGTGCTGAGAGTTCGAAAGTCACCAAGAAACGTCTATCTACAGAATCACTCGAGATAATATGCCATTGTGGAACAATAGAAACTGTAGGCAATCGCCAACTCACTTCCGAACTTGCGAAATAATACAGACAGGCGGTGGAAAATATCTTAAAGAGAGAACAGTGGCGGTTATAGGGGAAGCTGCAGAGGCTTGGAAAAGCAGTCGCAAAGCCAAACGAAGCTTTGCCAATTATAAAACCAAGATGATTGCACTCTGACGCCCAGACGGAATAGCTACGGCTTCAAGAAACACGGCGGATCACGAGTTTTATAGGTTACGCAAACATTAGGATTGGAAGAACTATTTGTTGCTGATAATCTGGTCTATGATGGAATGTGTATAACTGGGAATAGTCCCTCGCGAATTGAATTCTACAAAATAAAAAAATTTCACGAGCATTTTATCTCTATCAAGGACACCTGATGCAACTATCGTATTATATTGTTCTGCATATATTCAATAATGGGCGCATGTGGCGCAATGGTTGGAGGCGCCACTGCACACGGAGGTGGAATCGATTCTCGCGCCCATGTCCCACCAAGCCTTCCATCCCTCCGAGGTCGGCAAACTGGTACCAGAATTGTCTGGGAGGTAGCAACACTGGCTCGATTCATCAGTAGGCTACCGAGAGTCACTGTAAAGGCCAGATAGGCATTCAATCAGCTCCAGGGATGTTTAGTGAAGTCGAATGCATGATGCATCTCTCAGGGATTGATAAACGCCGAGAGCTTTATCCTTTTTATATTCAGTAATGCCATTAGATTTAGTCAGCTTTATGGATGGTCTTTGGATGCAAATACCTAGAAATAAATATTTTATCCTGACAGAACATCGGTTATTATTTTCGACTCGCTGGTGCTCTGAATAACAAGCATTTTGAAATCACTTTTTTTATTTGCATTAATAAGTTCAGTTCTTTTTTTCTCTTTACTTCCATTTCCACAGTTCACATATTTCTTATCTTGAATGGCGTGCATTATAGCTGGATATGGTCGGTGACATTTAATGTGCTTCGAGATTATGATTACTTACCATGGATGATCAAGAAACAGGAGTACCTATTTGGAATCGCAACTCATTGCATTGCAATGACTTCTACGGTGTCTATCCTTATTCGTTTTCTTTCTATTCTTCAGTTTGACATTCTTTTCGCAAATCTTATTGTTCTATATTTATTCGTGTTTTTAGGTCTGGAACCCACTCTTATACGCCGCTCTAAACCTGCAGCTAAGAGCTGCCTTCATTGATTTACTACCGGCAACGATTCGTTGGAAGTTACGCCTAGGAAACGATAATACTACTAATTTGACAGCAAACGGCACACTACACATTATGAGACCAGCGTCAACGCTTCAGTACAGATCGAGTGAAGGCCAAATTCAGGTATGCGAAAACGTATCGAATATAGCAAGACCCTGCTGCTAACAGTATTGCAAAAAGCACTTTCAGTTTATAAAGTTTCTTACTTATACTTCAAAACTGACTTTCTTTTAACCTCGGCATGACTAATCAATATGTATTCTTTCTTTGATAGGCTTACATGAGGTTGATAGCACTTTATTTTTGGCTAACGCTTCGACGACGTCGTCTACATCAGAGCCGATGATCCGAGTCAATGGTCCACAGCTGTTATCAGTTTCGATGAAGACGACACCGTCGAAACGTTGACGGAAAATAAACAATGCCATCAACATCTTTCACTTATATCCCACCATTTAAAATAGTTTTGAATAGTATAACAAGAGAAATTATACATCAGTAATGGTGTGTGATGTGTAACCAATTAACATTTCATTTTAAAACCCGCCCGGCGTAACCTCAATAAACTGCTTAAGCTCAAGGCCACATGAGCTTCATCAAATTGGCCTTAAGCTCTCTTCCAAGTAAAAAAAACATGGCGATGCAACAAGTAAAATTCCCTCGCATCAAAAGCTTTCCTTTCCCATAATGCGCTTGCGCTTCATTATGAGTGGCATGCGTTCCTACGTGTCGAAACATGCATCTTAGGCTCATATTCCAGCATGATCTCTAATATTGAAAAATTCGACGTTTCTATCCGCAACATCAGAGTGAAACAATTGGGAACAAGAATAAATGAATACTTCGTTGGCACCCACTCAAATCACTGTGATTCACAAGCGAAACAAGTGAAGAGCTAATTTTTCCGAACATATTTGAACGTGATTTAATAAACGCCACTGGTTGAACCTTTGATTTATTTTCTCAAGAGGACTAAGTATTTTCTCAAGAGGACTAAGAACTCGACTTGACTAGCGTATATAGGTAAAAACTAAAATGTCATAATCTCAACCCTTTTATTTACTGCCTTTTTTCCTTTTTAATGGCGGGGTATGTTGCGAAATATAGCTCATATATAATGCTGAGATATTTGCAAAACTCCGGACCGCAGGTGTATGCGGTGGGGAGCGAACGCGCGCTTTTGTCCGTACCGGGGAGTAGCGCACTTCACCATCACACCACCCGGGTCCTTCATTTTGCCTGTCTCTCAGCTAGTTCTATCGAGGCAGTAAATAAAAGAGTTAAGATTGTGATTATAACTAAGCCTTAGTTTAACTGGATTCAATGCCGATTTGGGCTTCCCAGATCAATCCCGTTGACGGGTGATTGCTGATGGCAAAAAGATCGATAGAACTAGTTGAGAGACAGGCAAAACGAAGGACCCGGATGGTGTGGTGGTGAAGTGCGCTGCTCACCGGTAAGGACAACAGCGCATGTTCGTTTCCCACCGCATATACCTGCGGTCCGGAGTTTTGCAAATATCTCAGCATTATATACGAGTTAAAATGTCATATATCGTCATGCAGAAATTAGCAATTCCCGAAAAAATGGTCGTTTCTTCATCAATGTTTAAACTGCTTAATGAGGCCCTTATAGTAGTATGGTTGTTAGAAGATCTTTTATGAGCAGTGTAAAGGCAAAGTGAAGATTTATTGCGGGAGTGAATTAAAGAGTCTTATACATCTAAACTGTGGGAAGAACTGTTTTGTTTCTTTTGTCAGTCCTTCGGACTCCACTCTATCACTTTGATTCTATTAGGTCTCCATTCGCCCTCTAGGCTACAGTTGTTTGAACTGTTTCGAAAATCTTTTACCGTTTTTCCTACGTGTCCGAATTAAAAGCGTTCCTCGCTGAAGCAAGCTCGCAGTGAATATTATAGTGTCGTAACGTTTATCAGTGAAACTTTGTTTCATCTAACACTTATACGACGACGTAAACTATGCAGGGGTCATATTTGAAGGGACGTTGCTGCCCGGAATGAGCTCTACAAAAGTTATTTTTTTCCGTGGTTTGTTTTGGCGCAGGGAACTTTTTTCCAACACGTCTTGTGGTCGGTCGACAGCTTTTCCAACATAGATGCTGTAGAGGCAATTGCCCATGGAAACGTATCCTCAAAATTTAAGACAAATAACGTGACTGCTAATTGACTATTGTTTCATTTTCCAGCGCCATGGTGGAACACTTTATCTTATGTGTTGAGGGAGTAGTAGAAAAAAAGCAGAAATAGAGTCATTAAAAGGATAAAAAAGATAGAGCTCTAAACGTTGATCAATCCCTGACTGATGCGCCAATCATTCGACTTCATTAAGCATCGTTGAAGGTGAATGAATGCACATCTCGCCTTTACGATGATTTGCCGTGGCCTACCGCCTGTTACCTGTTCGCTGACCCGGAGGGGTGGAAGGATTGGTTAACCAGGGGCGCAGGAACGATCCCATGTGTATCAAAGGCCGCCTTCGACCACTGCACTACAAGCGCCCCTACGTGGCGGACAATAGTAACATGTAATAAGTAGCAGCTTAACTACCATGTACATTCCTAGCGGTGAAACAAAGTCTGCCTGTGGTATTCCAATCTTACCGACACCTTAATTCTATCGAAAAATTAACGTCTATATTCGAAGAACGATCAGTTCCGTGACGACCGAAAATTAGGCGCCGTCTCATGCGGTAGCCACGTAAAATTAAACGTCGCTGCTTAAGCACTAGTATGTCGCAGGTGAACCTCGTCACTAAATTGTTAGCACATGGAATACTTGGAAAACAACGAAATCTACACGTCTGGTTATGTTGCAAAACAGGTTATTAAAGAGAAATAACACAATGATTGAATGCTAGACAACTTTTCTTTTAATCATCCACAAGAGTTATAAATGCTTAAAAACAACGGAATTTACATGCAGAACATAGATGGTACCTAGTAAACAAGAATGCAGGAATTAACGGGCGTCCCTGAAGGACAAAATGGTCGTTTTCACGAATAGGATGGACCCCAGCACATTTTTGCATTTGTTTCTTTGCAGCTTGATCGTTGTCCATAGTTGTGGTTTGCTTTGAGTATCATATCGAGATCTGTAGCAAATTTTGGAGCTTCAAATACATCTAATTGATTTTAGTTACAAACATGTCCGCCCGCTGTGTAGGGCGTCCCACAGAACGCCTTTATCTTCATGGAGCCACTTTCTATCGCAAGGCAAACTTCAGCAGAAACAATCCACATCGATTTTCCTTCAGCAGCATCCATCACGGGGATCGTGGGACGGAAAATGTTGGTGCAGGACTTTTCCGTTATCAATTCCATGCCATAGCGGGAGGTGAAGTTGATGGTGCCAACGATATTTCTTCTGAGTGGTTATATCTAAACTATTTCCACAAGATTTTGTTTTGCCGTTCGAATCTATCCATATGCTACTGAAAAGATTTTAGTTACTATTATCCGTATTGAGTGCATTGTAATAGGATCCATCTTCAGTTTCCTTTCTCTTTTTTTATCATTTACTAGTAATGGAGTTACGATCCAGACATTTCCTTTGAGGAACTTGCGCGAGTTCGACACACACAAGTTTTAATTTCTTCGACAAGTGGCTCGTCTTTCATGGCGTCTTTTTTAATTTGACAGTCATGTATTGATAGGATTTCACTAAGAACGCTGCTGTTATATACATCTCGAATTATTCTTCTGGATCGATGACGATGATTCTCTTCCAACTTACGGTAGAATCTTCGCACGAAGAAGGCGGTTGTACAGGTTGTACAGTACAGGCTAGTGGGCCTAAGCATCTGTCAAACATAGCCCATTTTCTATTTGTAAGGATATGGTCAATCTCTTCGATCATGAATCGTATGTTAGGTGGCTTCCATGTCTAAAGCATTCAATGATATTCAAGATGAAAGGAAAATTTTCAATCAACACCCTAAGCCACACTTGAAACTTAGAATACTTTTGTGGATGTAGATGGATGTGGATGAGAGCAAGCGAATCGAATGTGAGAAGTTCTGGTATCCCAATAGTGATGTGAAAGACGGGTCGTATAAAAAAACTACATAGAAATACTTTTATATTGATAATTTATATGAAAAGACTTTTATGGTTACTTTTCTGCTTTCGGCACAAGTAATCATAAAAAGCCCTTCAATCTTGCCCAAATAATCATAGTGGAAAACTAGTGTCACGAAATCGATGAAATCCTTCAAAAACTGCAAAGTATGTTTTCATATACAGCTAGCAGAAATGAGCCGATCCTATTGCACGATAACGCTCGACCGTACTTTGTACAAGTAACGCAGCGAAAATTGCATCTTCTGTCTAATGTTTCCTAGATTCATTTTCAATCCGCAACGTTGAATATGAACTCTGATATGTTTGCTTAAACACTTAGTTACTTTTGGGTGGCTATGAACACGTATTAAGAATCATTCAATAGGTTCAAAAATAGCAATTAGGGTAAAAGACACTACTTGCTGAGTCTTCCGGATAGGTCTACCTCTAATTTTTCACTTAAATGTTTCTCGCGAATACATGATCTGACCAGATGGAGAAAACCTTGCTGGACTACTCAAGGTGCACATCGACCTTCGTAAAACGTTCAAGGCAGAAGTGTTTTCTAAAAATAATTTCGCATTTACTCGAAGAAAGCTGTATGGTGGGTACTGGTACAGAGATCCCAAGATTCCAGTGAAAATTCACTTGAGCAGCATTCAGCGACATTTGTAAAAAAAAAAGGAAACTTAAAATGCCCAAGCAGCAGTCAAATGTAAGATCGAAGATCTTCGTGAATGTCCACGGTGGATGAGAGGAAACGAATCGAATGGCAGAAGTAAGGGGAACCACACAGTATCTGATGTTGATCGTGTAAATGCGAGAAAATATTTGAAACTAAGTAAGACTTGTTAACTGTTTGCAAAAATAATCTGTTTCGCTATTAACAAATACATAACTAAAAATAAAG